GTGTTTCTGCAAACAAACCTTTGAGTCATTTAAAGTTTTCATCGTACTGAAAATATATGGCAACTATGACTAGAACGAACTTTAAGATGTGTGGACTTCAACTCCCAGAATTCATGGCTGGCTGGGGAATTCTGGGAGTTGAAGTCCTCACATCTTAAAGTTGCCAAGGTTGAGAAACACTGCTCTAGAAAATCTGAGTTTAGGGCTTTCTTTGCCAGTAGATACGGACCAGACTATATTTTAATCCTCTAATCCTCACTTTGCCCCACCGACATGATAGGTGGTGACATTCAACGAGAGCCAGTCTAACTATCTGTCTCTTAAAACCTCCCTTTGAACCGGGTTAACCTCATTCCTTCCAAGCCCCCACGACTCTAGAAAACCTTTTATTTCTGCTTCTGCCCCACCGCAGGCAGTTTCATCTCTTCCAATTGTTTCTCCTCTTGGCACGATCGGGTGGGAAAAAACCCTGAACCGTCATTATTCGGTGGAAAGGAAATTGCTTTTGCCAACCCCAGGGAATCGCACCCTTTCGATTTCCTCCTTTTTCCCTGAGCCCAAAATAAAGATGAAACGGGGATCAATTAAAAGTGTCTTAGGCATGAGAAATTAGGAACAACGCCAGGCAGCTACGTGCTCTTCCAGCCTGCTTTCTTAGACCCAGGACACAAAGTGACCCTCTGAGTCATGTTCTGCAGGCACGGAGGATGCAGAAATTACATCCTCCTTTTTTTGTTCCTCCGACAAGTGAACACTTTGGGATGGCCCTGCCAAGAGACATGTCCTTTGGAGAGACAGGCTTGTGTTTCAGGGGCTCCCGGGTTCGGCTTATGGTCACTCACTCGCACGCTCACAGCCTGCTGAGGCACACGGATCTTGTAACCCCCCCTTGCTTTCTACCTGGGTTTTCTAGATAGGGGTGGCTACGGCAGAGATGTCACACAGCCCTGGTCAACAGCCAGGAAACGACTAGACATATGCACGGATCACTTTGAACCGAACAGATAGGGACCACAGTGGATTTCAAGTAACAGCAAAACTTTACTGGTTATAAAATACATTGGCTTTCTCACACATGCACACTCTCTCATCCACACTTACCCCAATCCTTCTCAACTAGGCTGCCAGGCACTAGCTAGAGCAGGCTTCCTCAACCTTGGCAACTTTAAGACTTCGACTCCCAGAATTCCCCAGCCAGCCATGAATTCTGGGAGTTGAAGTCCACACATCTTAAAGTTGGTTCTGGTCATAGTTGCCATATACTGTATTTTCAGTACAATGCACATTTTAAATGACTCAAAGGTTTGTTTGCAGAAACATGCTGCCCTTTAGTACAAACTCTGGTTTCCTTGGGCTGAGAAATATTTTGCTCCCTTGCAAAACTCTTTATTGAAGCAATGTGAAGTCACTCACACAGCAGATCTAATCATTAATATTCCTAAAGAACAGGCTTATTTTACATGCTTATTTTAAAGTTTAAACAGGCTTATTTTAAAATTTGCATTGTACTGAAAATATATGGCAACTATGACTAGAACCAACTTTAAGATGTGTGGACTTCAACTCCCAGAATTCATGGCTGGCTGGGGAATTC